CAAAACTACGATATCAACTCTTACCTGAGTCTCCAGCCTGCTAGCCGACTCTACCAATTTGAGACTTGACAGCTCTTGTATGAGCCAATTCCTTAAAATTGATCTAGCTCTTTATCTCATTCATAACTCTGTCTCTGTCTCTGTTTAATGTCATGCCAAACAGCTTATCAAATGCAGAGATATCTAGGAAGATAGATGAAGAGAGATATACAGAGATAGATAAAGATACGGATGTATACATAGCTCCTATTAGTTCTGTTTCTGTGGAGAAGCCTGACTAATATAGTTGGCATTACATTACAGAGACTAAAAGTAAAATATCATTAGTAATTTGACCTTGATTCTTGATGATGAAATTAGTGGAGTGTTTCTAGTGTCTGTAATGATTACAAGGAAACCTTTTCCCAAACAGAATAAAAGCAAAGGGATAAAACAAGGGAAGAATCCTTCACTTTCTTGAAAATAAATTTTTATAATTCAAAGACCAGATTTTGCAAAAATCCCACCTTTGTTTTTCCCTTTTCTGAAGAGATAGAACTGCCAGGTTGGGAGCTGAAGGGAGGACGTAAGGGGGAGTGGTATATCCGCATGATAAGGTAGAGACTTAATAAGAATCTTAAACCAAGGATTTTTTCTGCCTGATCATCTGAAGAGCCATGCTGATCTGCAAGAGAGTTCTTTGGCACCACATCTCCATCTTCCCTCTGCTCTTAGCCCACCCCTCCACAGAGACCCTCAGCCTTCAGTCATCACCATGGAAACTACACAGAGAGAAAAGCTGTCCAGGGTCAGGAGAAGGGGCTTGAAAATCTTGTCTAAAGCCCCCATCCCTTTCCTTGCTGCCTTGTCCATTTCTGAATACAAGATTGTATCCACCTGCTGGAAACCCCATATACCCTGTGACCATGATTTAACTGTGACATTAAGTAGGATTCTGATAGAATCCAGGCAAGAAAAAGAGACTTCTGGACACATGAGAGGATCATTTGTAAATGGCAGCGTTAGCAAATTAGAAATATCTGATGTGCTTGAAATAATAATAAGGAATAAGCCCATTTCCTGTGTTTCTTTTTTTTTTAAGATTTTATTTATTTATTTATTTGATACAGAGAGAGCACAAGCAGGCAGAGCAGCAGGCAGAGGGAGAGGGGGAAGCAAGCTCCCTGATGAGCAGAAAGCCCGATGTAGGGCTCGATCGCAGAACCCTGGGATCATGACCTGAGCCAAAGGCAGAGACTTTAACCCACTGACCCACCCAGGCGCCCCCATTTCATGTGCTTCTTATGTACTAACTACCTTCTAAATAATCCACATGTATGAACTTGCTTAATAATCATAACATGAAGAAGTAGAGTTTTACTCATTTGAAAGAGGAAAAAATCTAAGGCCCAAGTGTATTATACGCATGTTCCACGGTTACTCAATTAGTAAGTGATAGGACTAAGCTCCAAAAGTTTGTCCTTGTACCAACTTACACCCCAGTACCCTCTCAAAAACTGCAAGGTGATTCAAAGGACTATTTCAAGCAGTAATAATAGGTGCTCCCCAACGGTTTTTAGTATTGGTAACCTTCATGTTCGAACACTAAAATTCATGCTAAATTTTCACATCTGTACTCTGATCCGTCTCTCAAACCCTGAATAATAATAATAACCCTGAATCCTGAATAATAATTTAAAAATGTGTCCATACATTCTGCTTTTTACCTGAGAAGCCTGAAAAGTCAGTGTAAACATGCGTTGCCACTGAAGGAAAAATTTACCTCCCGATGTCTTTCTTACTCTTATCACTAGTTTCTGAGAGAATGTCACACCACCCCTAGGGAGTGTGTTTCTCTGCCTCACTCTATGACCCTTCGTCTCACCTCTACGCTCATCTCTGGGCATATATCTCAAACTTATTCCTGGTTCTCAGGATGGTGGCTGAGGCCAGGCATCAGCCACAAATGGACATGGAGTAAGCCAACAGACTCTTTGTTCTTTTTATCCATGCCTCCTTCCCTGGCAGCAACACTTCCTCTGCAGGATCTGGATTCCCCGGGCGTGGATCTTAGTGGGCAGCAGAACAGATGGAGAAAGGTCAGGAAGGTGCAGGAGAGCAGTCACAGGATGGAGCGCCTCACTGAGTAGGAACACATGATTAAGGATGCTTAAGCTCTAAAAACTGATGGTCCTCAGTTGATTTGGTTCACACAGAGAACTGCTGTAGGACTGTGCTTAATGGCTTGTGCCCCAGGCCGAGGTGTGCAGTTTGGGATCCCAGAGCTGCCATTTAGCAACCATGATCCTGGGTGAGTGATTTGACATCTCTATATCTCTGTCACCTTCACATAGAGGATAGGACATATAAAAGTCTGAGCTCAATGCCTGGTCATAATAGCATGTTACCCACAAGGGTCAGCTATTATTACTTAAGTCATAAAGCTTTACACTTGGGCGACCGTTTAGAAGTTAATTCCTAATTTTGATTGGTAGGAAAATTGAGAGGAGAAAGGAAGTAATTTGTAGATCTTCCTACTCAACAGGCCAGGATGTTTGCCATGCCATCACCCACCCTTTTAGAAACTTCTTGGTCACAGTGCTTATTTATGCTAAATATATTTTTTTATATTTATTTATGCTTCATATATTAGAGGCCAATGTTTGTCAGTTGTTTTTCCTCTTAAGTTGATAGATTTATGCTGAGCCATTATCTCACCTACCCATGCTGAGAGAAGGACAGAAAACTAGACAGGATTAGGGAAGCCAGAGATGAGCATGGAACAGAGGGGAGTAAACAACATCCACCACAGCCTCACAAACAAGGCTGTGGGCAATGAGGTAATCAGTCTCACACAGCCCTGACATAAAACAAAAACAAAAACACGGGACCATACTGACCACAAAATTCATACTTTCAGCTCCCTGAAAACTGTAGGTTGATAGAAACAGGTCCTACTGCCGATTAAAAGGTTCTGAGAATGAGTCTATTTGTTGAACACAAATCTTGCCTTCATTATTCCAATCTGAGCAACCAAGAAAAACAAATTTAAAACAATTTTAATTCTGAATTGACTGGAACAACACCACCACCAAAATATTATGACTCACGTGGTAGTGCTCTAGCCCTATAGCAAATTCTGAGAAACTCTTTTGAGCTAAATATTCCTGAGGAATAGACAAATCAAACGTGAATGATACCCCCTCACCCACACCCACAGGTGCTCACAGAACATCCACCTGGACCTAGAAAGAATTACTAACTTCAGGTTCAGACTCTGGGGACTCAACCTGGATCTGGTCTTATCTTTCAAAGCTGACTGGGAGAATTTCTGGGGTCAGAATGATTGTTTTAATCTGGCTTACTCTGAATGAAGCCTCCTCATCTGGCTCATGTGTTCCCTCTTCATTGCTAGTCCCCAAATTCCCATGCGGATCTGTCCTTTGGTCCTTTGGACTTAAACCTTCCAACGCTACCTGGAGATAGCCAGGTTGAAATGAGATTGGTAGGATGTTAAGGTTTTTTGAGGGGGAGGGTTGTTACTTTTATATAGATTTTACTTTAAGGGCAGCTTTGGGTTCACAGCAAAGTTGAGCAAAAGGTACAGAGATTCTCGTGCACCACCTGCCCTCCCCCCAACACACACACACATGCCTAGCCCACCTGGCCTTTCTCCATCGGCACCTCCCAGGTGTCAGTTTGTTTTTCTTTTTTTTTTTTTTTCTTCGTTCCCCTCACTCATGCTCCAAACTTTTTTTTTCAGTTTCTTCCTTGTTACAAATGGACAGTTTTTATAGTAAATATGAGAACATATGTTGTTTTCTCCTGAGCATGTTTATTCTGCCTCCTATGTTCTTCTATCTTTACTAAAATCATAGAAGCTTCTCCTCCCATCACACTCAAACCACACACAAAAAGCAGTTGGGAAAACATTTCAATTATTCCAAACCACAAGTTCACTTCTGAGTAACGACAAAGAAGGAAGCTTTAGAAACCCATGGAGGGAAACTACAGACTCAGTCAGACTAAAACCTGAGGGGGTGGCCCCAGCCAGTGCCTGCAAAACATGGAACCAGGATGCTGACTTCCTAAATCCCAGCCCAGTTCTCTTTTCTCTGGAGCAAGACTTTTTAGATGCTCTCACATTTGATGAATGGTTGTCTGATAATTCGTTAATAAAACACCCTCTGGATATGGAGTGTGCCCATTGGCCAAATCCCTCTGAGAAGTAATCACTGCTCTGAGACAAAAGAGGTTAGTGTGAGTGAGTGTGTGTGTGTGTGTGTAGGGGTGGGTAGGTGGGTTGCATTTGTATAAAAGATGATCATAGAGCAAGGGCATATATTCAGGTCAGTTTGAGATGTAGTGGAAAGCAGAGTAGTCTGAAAACCAAGTACAGATGTGCTACTAAGTTGCTGTATGATCTTATGAAAACCCTGTTTCCCTCTCTGAGTCTCAGTTTCCTGATCTATAAAGTACAAAGATTTCTTCCAAGCAGCGCAGAAATACACGATTCTAGGAGAGACCATGAAAGGAAGAAGGGGACAGAAGGAGGAAAGAGATGAACAAAAGGAAGAGAAGTGTGTGTGTGTGGGCGGGGGGTATCTCGGGAATAGATAGAAAATGCCTTTTAATAAGAAAGTGAAATAAAGTTGCAAATGAACCCGTGGGTCTCCTGAGGCCTCTATTTTTCATCCTTCGGAATTTTTAGTGTTTCCACATTCAGTCATTTTAGATAAATGTAGATTTAAAGTATGGAAAGCTTGAGAAACCTCACAAGAAGAAAAAGAGGAAGAAAGGAAATGAGAGGTCCAGGACAGGAGCTCTCGGCAGATATGATCCTGCCCAGGGAGTCCCCACACCGTGGGCCGGCGGGACATTCCTGCCCAAGACCCCTTGGCCATCACCTGCTCCCGCTCCCCGCCGCTTTCCCAGTGAGCCGCTCTGAAACCGCCAGGGGGCGCTGCGCGGCAGCCGGCGGGTGCGGGGCGGAGCTGCTTTAAATCGCGGCGCCCAGAGGGTTGGCGTCTCAGTCCCAGAGCCTGGGAACCGCGCAGCTTCTCTCGTCCCGACTCCAGCGCGGACCCAGACGGGACCTGGACTCAAAGCTCCTCCGGTGGCAGCTCAGGGAGCAGGGCTCTCCGCACTAACTTCTTCCGCGCGGCTCCGTCACTCCGGGCAGTCCCCGGTGCGCACCTGCCAACTCCGCCTTCTGCACCTGCCACCCCTGAGCCAGTGCGGGCACCCAAGCGAGCCATGGCCAACGCGGGGCTGCAGCTCTTAGGCTTCATCCTGGCCTTCCTGGGCTGGATCGGCTCCATTATCAGCACGGCACTGCCCCAGTGGAAGATTTACTCCTATGCAGGGGACAACATCGTGACGGCCCAGGCCATCTACGAGGGGCTGTGGATGTCCTGCGTGTCGCAGAGCACCGGGCAGATTCAGTGCAAAGTCTTCGACTCCTTGCTGAATCTGAACAGTGAGTGCTTTCCCCACCCCCCGTGTCCAGGAACCTGAAACCCCAGCCCCCCAGTGGCTCTGTTTTGGAGTAGTGGCTACCGATTGATTCTGTGGTGTAATTACGTGGTTGTGAAACTTCAGTTGATCAAGTCTTCTGATCATGTGCTTTTATCGTGAGGAAGCGAGAAAACTGTGGTTTGGGAAAAGAGAAGCCCTGGCCTCAGCTCTGTTTTTTCCTCTAAGTCGCCAGGTGACACTTTTCCTCTAGGTGTGGTTTCATCTTAAATTCCCATGAAGTGAGGTGGAGATCCAGTGGGTGAAGGCCAACCTCCAACTTGAGCTCTTAGGTTTTTTTCTGGACATTGTAAAATTCTCTATAAACTGAAGAGTGGTGGGGTTTGCACAAGAAAACAGGTTGCTTTGAAAAGATTGGACCCTGGTAGCTTTCCTGGATTCTGTAATTAATAGGTAATCCTAAAGTTTTAGGTAAATTGGGAGAGGGGCTGTTAAATATATCTTTAATCTGAGTTTTATAGTAAAAGTCACATTTCTATGCAGAATATCCCAACCTAGTGTCTACTACTAACACTTGAGCTTGAATCTTTTGATTTATTTGCTTTTTAAGATCCAGTAAGTATGGGGAGGCTCCTTGGAATCCCCTCCTATGACTCCTTCAAGAAGCTTCTTGAGATTCCCCTGAAGGGTTTAGCTTTCAAGCCAGGAATCCACAGAGGAGGCAGATAGTGTAGTGTTATTTTGGTTTTTTGTTTGTTTGTTTGTTTGTTTTTGTTGGTTTTTTTTTTAAGATTTTTTATTTTATTTACTTGACAGAGATCACAAGTAGGCAGAGAGACAGGCAGAGAGAGGAGGAAGCAGGCTCCCCGTTGAGCAGAAAGCCTGATGCGGGGCTCGATCCCAGGACCCTGGGATCATGACCTGAGGGGAAGGCAGAGGCTTTAACCCACTGAGCCACTCAGGCGCCCCAGTGTAGTGTTATTTTGGAAAGTGAAGTTGGGTGGCAGGTGGAAAAGGGTGACAAGGAAGAAAAGTTCTAACTAAGCTCCCATCATAATACGAAGGAGAGTGAAGGCACGGAGAAAATAAAGCAAAGGAGACTCAGTTGCTGAAGGCAGAGCTCAGCCAGAGAGGAAGGTAGTGAGAGAAATGGTGGGTCTTCTCCAAGCTTCCATCTTCCTTAATTTCAATGTAACGGAATGTCCGTTCTTCTGTCAAGCTGAAAAGAATTATGTAGACAGGGCTATTTCTAGGGATTATGGGAAGAAGGATGATAGGATGGCCTTTTAACTTCTATTTTTTTTTTTTTTTTAGGTACAAGGTTATGAGTGACTTTTTAGAAACTCATTAAATTCCCACTTACTGAGGTCATAATAATTCATGGCCAGAGTACCTTCCTTGAGATACTATGTTAGTTGTCCTGCACGTTTGTCTGTCATGCCCTCAAACTAACTTGAAGAAAAGCTTCTTTAGTCTTTGGCTGGATAAACAAGACTGTCCACCAGCCCACCTCGTGTGCTGAGGGTGAGCTATGTTGCCATTGCTCAAGCTTCCTTCAGCTGCCCCATCCACCTCCGGCCTGTGGTTTGGTCAAAACCCATCAGAGTTATTAAATCTGTTCTGAATCTGTTTAAACAGCTTTCACACCTGTGGGATTTGGTTCGTCAATGTGCATGGTGGTTTGAGCGTTTTCACTTCAACTTTTCAAAGCTCCCATATTAGGATCCCTTTATACCAAATATAAGAAGTATATGAAGCACACCCCTCTGTATCATCATTGAATCTCCCCGTGAAAAGATAAATGTGTGTAAGGAAATGGAGTCAGGCATTTTGGGTGTCATGTCGGGGACTTGGCAGATGGAAGAGGTTTTAAAGGCAATTCCAGAAACGTCTCTGATTCTTCTGACCAAAGCAGTTCATTTTCAGTATGTTTAAATAGGTTTCCTTTTACTTCCTTAGGTGACCAAATAGAATGCATGACCATATTGATCCCTGTTGTAAATACTCCGACAGGCCATTGCTATACACAATAATGTGTTAAAATGTTTTATTTTCATTTATTCCTGGTTAATATAGTTGTTACACTTTTTGAAGTGTAGTAGAAGAACTAAACCATACCCTTCTTCCCCAGACAGATTTTAGAGATATCTTCCCACTGATTTTTTTTTTTTTTTTTAACTCCAGATCTGATTCCTCTTTTTGTTTTGGTTAAAACCAGGGTTTATTCAAGGTGGAGCTGAGGCCTTTCTCTCAAAACTGTTTCCCAGAAGAGGGATCCTTGACTCATAGGTGCTCTCCCAACCTGCCAATGACTCCCTGGAGGCCTTTGAACAGAGCGCAGGGAACCGGTCTCCTTTTCTCTGCCTGGAATGTGGTCCTCACTCCCCTCTGATGTAGAGACCTGGGGTGGTGATGCATTGGCTGGTTTTGGTGCAGTTTTGTGATGTCTAGAAGAAAACAGGGTTTTCCTGGATGTAAGTATCTTTCCTTGTAAAGGGTTGCATTCCCGGAAGTGCTTTTAGCTTCTAGCTTGGCTAGAAGTTTCCTGAAAGTGTATCTTGCTCTCTGCCATGGAGCTCACTTGGCATCTTAGGGTGGAGACACAGAAATTTATCAAGGTTTCTAGCACTAGATGTGTTAAGAGCCCTTGATTCCTTGCTCTAACTAGTGTCAGCTATAAAAAGCACATGACGTTCATAAAATATCTAAAAGGTTATGGGTTACTTAAACCAATATAGGAAATGAGGTACAACAGAGCTCCTTTTAGGTGGTCCTTGCAGAACAGTTTATGAAAATGTAACCGAGAAACTTCCCTGGGGGGCAAAATATTATACCGTGTGTTGTGGTTTTACTGTGGCTGAAACAACTTCAATTCCATCCCAAGTATGCGATGTTTATTGACACTGAGGACTCTGGCAGCTGAGAGCTGGCGCATACGAAGGGTGGCACCAGGTACAACGGCAGTAGACTTTTTCTGGATTAGACTACATCTTGCCTTCTGTTGATCCAGTCCTCAAACTTTTGGCAAGCTTGTGCCTATTTTAGGTCCTTAGTTAATTGTTTCTTCTTGCTTGATTTTAATAGCTAAAGCTGTCTGAAGATTGGGCTATTCTGGGAGGTTGCATTGTGGGAGGTGTGCAAGCAGAGGAGTAAGCATTTTGGAGGAATGTTGTAGGGAAAATCCAAGCACCAGACAAATGGAAGGTTAGGCTAGACTCTCTCTAAGTCTCATCTAACCTTGAGATTCTGTAATTTGTTTATAAGCTCCTCTAGCCTGTTCAACTTGCTTTGCATGAATCCACATGTGTGTAGGTGTACTTAATGAGTATTGGTTGTCAGTGAGGTTTCCCAGCACTCTCCCCATGATGTCAGGCTCAGTCAAAGAGACGAAATCACTGACTTGGATTTGAAAGTCTTGAAAGTCCTCAAAGCACAAGCAAAGAGGAAGGCACCCACTTACATGTCCCTAGACTGCATAATGCCTGCCACATACTAAGGGCATTCAAGAAGCCATTGGTGTTCGAATGTGAATTAGTTCCGACACTTGGAATGATGGAACTAGAAAAAGAAAAATCCAAGTTTGAGGTCTTACGTTCTCAATTCTCACCCTGGTTTTGCACTAACTAGCTATGTATATTATGGTAAGCCACTTGATTTTTCTGGGGTGAAGAGAAATAAAATAGAGCTTATTTTAGAAACCTTATAAAACAGTGCAGAGTAAGAGGAATGGGGAGATGAACCCAAAGCTCACTCATCCACTCAATAAATGTAAGCCGGGCCCTATTCTTGCTCCCAGGGATGCAACTAAGATGATTTATAAGGTGTCAGTATTGATTCCTTCCAGTGTCAACATTCTTTGTTACTAATTGCCATGATGGAAGACAAAGAAGCAAGTGGCATAGTTTAAGTTTCCTTGATTGGAGTGATGAGTAAGTGGTAAAAGAGAAACATAAATTTAATCATGAAGCAGCTTCTCTAAGAAACAAGCAAAAAAGATAGCAAAACTACTAGGACATCCTGAAAAGTGGTAAGTCCTGCCTCATCCCGGACCCCTTCAGTTACTGCCTGAGGTGGTGTATTGAGGTCATACCCATGGGCCAACAGCTTGTGCACCAAGAAAATAGAAATCCTAACAATGAGAATTCCTGAGAAACTTCGAAGTTGAGTCCAAGTGAAAAAGTCATGGGAATATGATCGTGTGATGGCCTGTGATGAGCTCACTGAACTGCAGAGAAGAGACTATGTTTGTTTTAATCACCCGATGGTCAGTTCATTTGCCTGTCTAATACTTATTAAGGAACCATTCATGTAGAGGGACTGCGTGAGGATGCAGGTTTAATTAAAATCAGTTTTGTTTGATACATACTATACAGGGTAATAATATAACTGTATGGCCAGTAAGCAGCATAAGCAACATCAGGTATTTATAGCAGATTCTGCTGCTTGTATATTTAGGCTTCTACCAACCTTTAGAAAAAAAAAAAATGATGTACTTGTCTGTGCTTGTCTTTCCATACTTATGTTGATTAACCCAACTGTAGTAGATCAGTAACTTCTCACTCATTTCTTGTCTTGTAGGTAGAGATCTTTGTAAGTATTTTTTCAAATTATACTTTCAGGTTGAAAGTGGTGAGAACTCCTTAGGGGGTCTTTAATCTCAAGATTATCGGTCTAGCTAAATGTAATTAAAAGACTGCCTCCTCTCTCTTCTGCTGAATAATGATGGGAGACAATAGTGGAACTTTTTGAATGTTTGCAAACGATTTTCTCCACAGACAACTTTAGTCAGTGATGATAATTTTGTAGCGGCATCTCTAAATTTATAGGGCCAGGAAAGGAACATATTTGCTTCTAGAGTTGATCCAATTAGACTAGCTCAGAGTTAATAATTCAAGACTCTCCTGTATCTCTCTGGTCCAAAATGTTATTGTGTAGCTTTCAAATATTTCTCAACTTCTCTACCCTGCTCATCATCATTCCAATAGGAGAAAAACTTCATCTTGGAAGCTCATTCAATGCAGAATTTTAAGATTTTGAAAATTAAAAGAAAATAATCAAGTTAAGCAAAAAAGTATGATTTTTTCCTCCTTGTATAAGTTTCTGGCTTTTAATGATTGAAACTAAGTTTGGCTTTATATAGCAAAATTTTGTTATCTCCAGGTTCACTAGGGAGGCATTTCTCAGTAGTATATCAAAGATTAAGCTAACCACAGGAGAGTATATTTCCCTATAGTATTAGTGCATTTTTGAAAAATTAAAAGCATGTGCTAATTTGAAATAATTGAAAACAGGTTGAATAACCCATGTAGCCTGTCAGGTTTTGTTCTTAGTGTTTTGGATTGAAAAATATCTGGTCCAAGACATCAAGGAGCTCACAATTACATATTTTAGATCCTTGACTTAAAAGGCTTCCATAATACCTTAATTTGAAGGATTCATCTGGTTCCAGCTTAAAACTGTGCAATTTAGATTCTATCTCCACATAAAACCCTCATAACTTGTAACACAACACTTGCTTACTGTGACTTTGTTATCCATTGTTACATATTCCTGACTAGTGAGTTTTCATGTTGTTATGATTCTCACCCTGGTTTTTTTTTGTTTGTTTTGTTTTTGTTTTTGTTTTCTTAACATCCTCCCCACCCCTACATATCACTATAGTTCAGAATTCATCCAACTGTCTCCAGTGGAGCAAGATGAGATTTTTGTGTTTGATGCCCGTCCAGTAGTATAAAAAACAAAGAAATTTTTAAGTCAATGGATGTCAAGATATAGATGAGAAATACTGCTTTGCAAAATAATGCTCTTGCTTGGGGCACCTGGGTGGCTCAGTCGGTGAAGCAGCTGCTTTTGGCTTGAGTCATGATCCCAGCATCCTGGGATCAAGCCCCGCATTGGGCTCCTTGCTCTAGGGGAGCTTCTTTCTCTGCCTGCTACTCCCCCCACTTGTGAGCTCTTTCTCTCTGACAAATAAATAAACAAAATCTTAAAAAAAATAATGCTCTTTATCATATTTTTAAAAATGAAGCATGATCCCCTGCTTTAGATGACTTATATGATTATATGACTCCCCCCCCATTTCCTCCATTATTTTTTGTGCCTTACACAAGTAAGTCATCATTCTATAAAGAAAACATAGGGGGTTTTGTTAGTGAACAAAACAAAATATCTGCTTCGTTCCCCCTTAGAGACTTTGTGAACGAGGTGGGAAGAATAAAATTGGTATGGCATGAATCATGTGTGCTTTCCTGGAGAACCTGAAGGGGAAAAAATCAAAGATGAAAACTTGAATGTTAGATCATTCCAGGTGAGCACAGATGGAGCCCTGGAGTGGTTTATCTGTGTGTGCTCCCTGCCTGGGTGGTTTTGTGCAAGTCTGACTCATGAGACTGAGAGGCCCCATAGACTCCTCGTGAAGAATACCTTGTGATCCGTGTGCTCAGACCTGCTGGGCTGGTGGCCTGCTGTTTTTATATGAAGTGCAGATCAGAATGATTATTATAGGAGCTGGATTGGGTTGGGGCTCTTAGAACTCAAAGTGGAAAACTTTGAGACAGAGATCAGAGATTAACAATAAAGGTGATTAATAAAGGTTGGAAAACAGTGTTTATGAGAAAAACAAAAGAAGTGGCTGAGAGATGTGCAAGGATATGTATATTTGAAGGGTTAGCATAGGAAGAATATTTACTAATGGGTCTCTCTCTGCTGAAAGTAAAAATCTTGCTACCCATTCTTTAAAACCCTACAAGGACTTCTGATTACACTTAGAATAAATGCTGAACACCTTACTCTAGCTCTCTAGCTTGCAAAGCCCTGTAGGATCTAAGCTTTCTGAGCACCACACTAAATGCACCTCATTTTGTCATATTCTGTCACCTTCCAGTAGAGTGACCAGATGTCCCCATTTGTCCAGGATTCAGGTCCTTCTTAGGAGGCAGGACCTGTAGTTTTAAAACCCGAGACAGTGCCAAGCAAACAGACAGCAGTTCAGCCTATCCTCCTGGCATGTAGATTATTTTTGTGATTTTTAGTATTTCTCCTTCCAGCATTCTTTAGCCTGAAATACCTTTCTTCTGAGGGATATTTAGGACCAAATCTGAGATGTGTGTTGTGTATTAGAATTTCATTATTTTACTTTCCAATTTCCTGTCACGTAATGATTGTCTTGGCAAAAACTCTTGGTAAATGAGAAGAAAGGGCACGCCATAACGGTGGATTCCTTGGTACTTTCCTCTTCTTGCCACAGGATTGTTTGTGATCCAAGGAAGAAGTTTTACGCTAATCTTATAAGCAGCTTCAGTTCCTGGGAAACCCACGGTGCATGGAACATGTGTTTTGATTCAGCACTTTTTACACTCCCCAGGAATCTTATGAGAAGTGTGTGGGTAGGGTGCATGTGTGCCCCACATGTTTACAAGGAGCTGGATATGTGAGGGGAGTGTCTCCATTTTGCTGTTTACTTAAATCAAGTAAAAATGTATCTTGGCTTCCAAAATATCTCTCTAATACAGTAAAAAAATACTTTTGATTCCTCTTAGAAAGAGGTTATTGTGATTTTAGCAGAGATTGCCTGGTTATGGCAAGGATATAAATATTAACAAATTAAAATAGAATGTCTTAGAAATCTCTAGAGCTAATAGTGATTGGTAATGTAAGTTTGCAACCCTGAACGTCGTAAGACTGAGTTTAGATATCAATTTAATTGGGAAATACAGAACCTTGCCACCATGTTGGCCACTTTTGAAGACCATCAGGAAGTAAATTGTTCCAACTTCCTGGTTAGAGATATCATCATTCACACTTTACATAATAGAAACATGGTCCCAAAGAATAATAAGTAGCTTACCCAAGATAGCATGGTTTGTTACAATGTAAATACCATTTATACATGGAAAAATAATTGCCACCTGTAAACACTGTCAATAGGATAATGATCTTTACCAGAAGGAGGAAATAAGTCTAGAATTAATCAAACTCATTTACTAGAGTAGTTTCAGCTCATTTTTTTTTAAATCTGTGCCTTTATACCACAATGATAGCATCATGTGTTTATTCTTTATTAAACATACTGGCATAATCTCCCAAAGCTGACTATATCATGATTTAGTACACCAATGACAATAACAGGAAAGCAGAAAATTAGTGTAATCTTGAGAAATACTACATTAAATTATTGTTTGTTATTTTACAATATGACAGTTTAATAGTTTTGAACACTGGTGATATCTCTGAATATGAAACTGCCATGTTCCAAAGTAACATCTCAAAGGTTATTTTGTTTTGTTCTAAGAAAATAGCATTTATATCCCCCACCCCCCGGCCACTCACTGGAGATGCAGATGTTACTTATCCAGCCATGACAATCTTTGAGAAATTCATTACTTATCTTCCAAATTCACCTGTTTTGTTTTTATTTTCTGAGGCTTGACGACTGGAGTATAAAGCTGTTAACTGTTAACCAAAGTATATTGTAAGCCATTTTAATTATAAATGGTTTAACATTAAGGATAATACATATGATTGTTGTTTCAGAATTAAAATACTGTGTTAGTGAGGATTAAAGATGTATTAGTTCTGCTAAACCTATTCAACCAGATCATTAATTATGTTTCCAGAGGATTTGAAGTTCATATTAAAAACATAAAACGTGAGAGCTGGAGGCTTCTCATTCATCAGCCAGCCAGGCGTTTGTTTCTCTGGAGTGGAAATTGTGTTGGTTACCTGCGGAAACATCATTGGAGCTGGGGTCTTGTGACTCCTAGTTCATTTTTATCTTTTCCATACATGATTGAAATATACATGGCCTTCAATCACTCTTCTCTGGTTGCCCTAGGCATGATTTTTACATGTTCTAAAATGTTTCCCACCAGGTACATTGCAAGCCACCCGCGCTTTGATGGTGATTGGCATCCTGCTGGGACTGATAGCCATCTTTGTGGCCACAATTGGCATGAAGTGTATGAAGTGCTTGGAAGACGATGAAGTGCAGAAGATGCGGATGGCTGTCATTGGGGGCGTGATCTTTCTTATTGCAGGTAAGAGGCCCTGCCCCCTTCACCTTACTAATCGGTCTCTGGCATGGGTAAAGACCTAGGTTTGAGTTTCCTTACATTTTGTTGGATGCATTGTCCTTGGATTGATTTTTTTCAGTTCCTTTAAAATCTTGAAGACATAGAAACCTTGTCTAGTTGATTTGCACATTCTCAAATAGGACCAAATGAAAATCTGAGATCTGTGCTCACGGTGGGCAGCTCTGTTCATTGAGGTTCCGGGTGCCAACTAATTTGCTAGAACCAGTCTCCCAGGTGAAGAGGGATATTTTCTATTTAGCAAGCATTAAGGAATGATTCTATAAAATTCAGAAAATTTCTGGAGTGTCTCCATGAACATTATGTGGCAAAGATGGGGAGTTATGACAGAGAACATGAAGAATGTGTGAATCACACAGTTCTACGAGGAGTGGATGGATTCAGGATTCTTGGAGAAAAATGAGGACAGCCTTCCAGATAGGCAGATCTGATTCCAGAATAAACGGGGTGTACTATAGACAAGTGAAGTGATGGCCAGTTGGAGTGGAGGTAGAGGCTGGAATGGTAGGAAGTTAGGTTAGATGAGTTAAGAAAGAGAAAACCTTGATAAAGGAATGAAGTTATATTTTCCATAGAAAATACGTATGTGTTTGTTGTTTTATTCAAGTGTTGATTGAGGAGTTACATATGTGACGTTTGAAAAATGAGTATCAGGAAAAGACATGGATAGTTCCATTATAAAACCCTAAAATAAGGATTATCTTAAATAAGATAGTATTATGTGTGCAGATAAAATGGTATGTGTGCAAATACATAAAATAATAGAGTTTACATTATATAAGCATATATACAGTATATTTTATATATAGTCTATTGTTTTTGAAAATGAGATCAGTGATATAATCGACCATTAGGAAGAGCTAGAATTAGAATTTTTTTTCTCATTTTCTCTTTGGAAAAAGACTTTTTAGGAGCCTTTACCCCAGCATTGTATGTGGATTTAACCAATAATGAAGGAAGAGTGCCTGTGGCTTTGCTAAAGATTTGGTTAAAGGGATCAGTCTTTCTTTTTTTCAAATTAGCTCTTGCCAGAAAAAGTATGAATAGCATTTCATTCCCAATGGTTTGATCCCAAAGGCTGTAAATAAACATAGGGCATAGCGCCCTTCCTTTGCTTCCCTGCTTGTAACTCCCATAAGTGACTACAGCACCCCAACTTCTGTTTTAGGGACTTCCTAGAGAGTAAGGGTGGCAAGTTCCAGAATATTCTCATGGTGTATCTAAGCCGCCCAAAGCAGTAGTGTTTTCTATCAAGTATTAGAGGCAATTAGATTGGACTGTTTTTTTTTGGGGGGGGGTGTGGAGAGGAAGTAGCGTGGAAACATTTAATCTATTTATATTGATGGTTTTGTATAATTACTATATGAAGAAGTTATTTAGTTTCCTTGGATAAGAAATATTGAGATATTTTTATACTTCTTATAAATGATAGAAGTAATTATGTTGACTAAGTAGTTTCCTAGGTATTACTGAAATACAAAATGCATGGGAAATTGAGAGGATGCTGTATAAACTGCTCTGATGTGATACCCCAGCAAATCTCCAGGCAGTACCTGGCATGTCTGGCCAGCAGGGCAGTAGGATTTGGGTGGTCTGGTCCATACTGAGCTCGTGCTCCTCCCTGCTATCTAGGTGTTTACTTTCCTTTTGTTTCTGCAGAACTGTAAATTTTGAATTTTGGTCAGGAAAAATGTAGATGGGTTTTCACCCTCCCTTTTGCAAGTGACTCTGTGTATACTAATAAGGACTTTGGTCTTATCAAAAGTAGTTTAGTATACTAATGTGTAACAATATCTTTGAAGGAGCTCTTAACTGACATCAGCCTGTTGAACTGTTTTGAAAAAAGCATTATAATTGTCCATGACTTTGGACTGTAAGTGAATTAGGTGACATCACAAGTATAAACTATGCCCTACTTCAGCCTAATATTTTTGTCTGTCTTAACAGAGTATTTGGAATAAATCATGTCCGAATCTCTAATCTCCCTAAGTGAAAATTATCTAAATCAAAACTGACTAAATTAAAAATGTCAGCACTATTGATGAGTTTTAATTCTTGTAAAATGCTTATAAATTTCATGGGCTGTATATTTATGCTCATTGTTTCATAATGACTAACAGTATTTTGTTTTTAATTTCTTTAGGTCTGGCTGTTTTAGTTGCCACAGCATGGTATGGCAATAGAATTGTTCAAGAATTTTATGACCCCATGACCCCGGTCAATGCCAGGTAATGCTATTCATGTGTAAAATAGTTTGCTCTCTTAGAAAATACCCTGTTTAGGGGCGCCTGGGTGGCTCAGTGGGTTAAGGCCTCTGCCTTCGGCTCAGGTCATGATCTCAGGGTCCTGGGATCGAGCCCCACACTGGACTCTCTGCTCAGCAGGGAGCCTGCTTCTCCTTCTCCCTCTGCCTGCCTCTCTGCCTGCTTGTGATCTCTCTCTGTCAAATAAATAAAATCTTAAAAAAAAAAAAAAAGAAAGAAAATACCCTGTTTATCTCCTACAAAGTCCAGCCAGTGCCATAACTTCTCAGATTTGCTTTCTGGAATTTTGTGAAATTTTAGTCAAACTTGAAAATAATCTGAAAGTCCTGTGACTCATGTTAAAATGAGCTTGGTAATTGCTTTAACAGTTTATATCTATGACAAAATGCACTTAGAAGTAGTAAATTTCCAAGCTCCGTACTTTCCAACTGTATACTGGACCTTTTTTCTGTTTTTTTTTTTTTTTAATATCAATAAAGATGTTAACATATTTAAAATTTCCTTTTTGTGGTATGTCCCAATACTTCCAACACTTAATTGATTTTTTTTTATAACTTAACAACATGGTTTATGATTGTTTGAAAAAGATAGTACTATTGTAGAGGTTAATGAATAATACTTCATTCCCAATAGTTTAATTTTATGTAGGAAAACAAAATTTAACTTATTTATGAAAAAAATACATTGAAATGCCACTTTCAAATTTTATGTTCCATCAGAGCTATAAAATTGGCTTTGCAAATGTCATTTTTATTTAAATTGTGATTTGTGGAAGTAAAAGAGCTGATTCTGGGCTCTCCTGTAACAACGCTCCTTGATCAGGGCCAAGGCTCTTTGTGTCGCTGTTGTTCACATCATTAAAGCCTAATGACTTCATTAAGAGTCAGAATGTTAAGGCAGAATTATTATTGGTTGCGTGCTAGGATGAATGGATGCAGAATCCCTGTGGTTAGAGAGAGAAGGTGTGCTTTTCTTCATATAATCACCTACACTGGAGAACGTATACTGCAGTGATCGTGATCGTGGTGGAGCCTTAGATCTGCAAGGCTTACAGTATAGGAACTGAAACTGCAAACGCTCAATAGGCTAAATTTTTACTAGTAATGTATGTGAAAGCACTTTATAAATTGCTTGGCTCTGTCCATGTGTTATTTACATTGTCTCCCATGATCCTGAAAGCAGTCCAGTGAGGGAGAAGGGATTGTCATGCCTTAAGAGAAGCAGAAATTGGGGTGCCTGGGTGGCTCAGTAGGTTAAAGCCTCTGCCTTCAGCTCAGGACATGATCTCAGGGTCCTGGGATCAGCAGGGAGCCTGCCTCCCCCTCTCTCTTTGCCTGCCTCTCTGCCTACTTGTGATCTCTGTCTGTCAAATAAATAGATAAAATCTTAAAAAAAAAAAAAAAAAACAGAGAGAGAGAAGCAGAAATTTAAGGTTGGGAGGTGAAGTTGCTAGCCAAGAGTGTAGCATTAGAGAGTTTGCATCGGGACTCAAGGCCAGGCCTGCTCTGCCTTACCATCTTGCCATCATTCATAGAGTCTCTCTGCAGGAGGCCAGCTCCATGCACCCACCTGTATCAGCTAAATCCAGAATGGTCTATGGATTGCTTAGAAGTCTTTTTTGTGATTTCTGATCTCAGTGTATAGAGATACCTTGGATCAACTATTGAAAATTTCGTTGGTCTCCATCACTTGCCAGCAATTTCTTTATAGGATATGGTTGCTACTTGGCAATAGCATAATTGTAAAGTTTTAGCCTGGGAATCATGGTCCAAACTCGACTTCTAAAATATATAAACACACTTCACAAGTCTCCTACATGTGGTGAAGTCTTAGGATATATTTGTGTGATTACCCTGGTGTTGCAGACCATATTGCCTGAGCTACTATTGCAGGGCGCCTACAACTGCAGTGTGAACATTCTGGTGTGTCCATATTCATGAACCTTAGAGTACCTCCCCCAGGGGACTATGGAGGATTTTTTCCCAGTGGGAAAAAGTATAATGACTATGATGTTGATTTCCTTCCTTAATTATATTACAAAATTCCCAATGATTCATTGACTAAAGTAATGCACTGTCTTTTCAGGTATGAATTTGGTCAGGCTCTCTTTACTGGCTGGGCTGCTGCCTCTCTCTGCCTTCTGGGAGGTGCCCTACTTTGCTGCTCCTGTCCCCGAAAAACAACATCTTACCCAACACCGCGGCCCTATCCAAAACCTGCACCTTCCAGTGGGAAAGACTATGTGTGACACAGAAGGAAAAGGAGACAGCAGCTGTTGAAACAAATAGAAAGTGGACATTGAAATACTGTCATTGACATTAGGACTTTAGACTTTTGATTATTGTAGTATGAACTATGGTACTGCAAAAAAGAACAACAAATGCAAAAACAAAAAAAGTTATTTTTTTAAAATACGCATTGCTAAAAATGGCTTAGTTTTATTTTCTCTCCTTTCCTCAATGCAGGAGGGAAGACTTTTCCATTTTTATTACTGCTTCCCACTGAGTAATCATCTCAAATGTGGGGAAGGGGAGCTCCTTAAATATATATAGATATGTACATATACATGTTTTTCTATTAAAAGTTAGATAGCAAAAACTCTTATTATGTTGGTACCAGTATGCTTAAAATATATCTAAAAAAAGAAAAATATATTTAATTCTATATTGGTTTAAAAAGCAGTTTATCTGGTATATTTTTCTTTTTCTATATGGATACATATATAATAGGTGAAATATTATTTTCCCTTTTTCATCAGCTTTTAACATCTTTGACAAAAGACCTAACCTGCTTTACTAAGTATGGATTTTTTTTACTTCTTCCCATGTGGCTTTTCATGTGCTTCTTTTATATTATTTTTAATTATGATCTCATAGCATGTGCTTTTATCATCCTTCATGCCTTTTTTTTTTTTATGAGGTTGAGCTTAAATCTTGAATCTGATAACACATTTCATAAGCCTACAATATAATTCCAAGAGTCAGGAAGAATCTCTTGCAGATCAGAACTTTGGGAGCATGTGTTTCTGCAAGACCAAGATGATATGTTCCTGTTGACCTTCCACACGATTTCTGTACTCTAACCTACAGTGCTCTTGTTTGCTTTGAAAATATTTGTCTGATTCAGTTGCTGTGTGCTGCTTTCCCAAGTGTTGTAACACAATTTTATTGATTGAATTTTTAAGCTACTTACTCACAGTTGTGTATGCCCTCAAACTATCTTTTTCTCCCCCACCCACCTCAACTGTATTGTTTTCTCTGATGTACTTATCGTGTAGTTTACCCCTTTCTAGAGAGAAAATGGCTCATCTGTTTGGTCTGAATGAAGTACTAGACTTCCTGTAGTGATAATCTGATGACAGATATTCTCTCTCTAACTGTAAGCAAGTCACTTAGTCTTTCTCCTCTTTTCCCATCTGTCAAATTGAGATAATGACACTTAACCAGCTGGTAGAGGCGGTGTGAGTATTAATTAGTTGATGTTATGCTCATTCTTTGAACATGAACCATGCTTAAGTAGTGTTTTTATTTGTTCAGTTGGTGGTTAAGTCACAGAATCAAACCTATGCACACATTTTTGTATCGGTTGGCACCTTCCTTTCTTCATTGGCCCATCTCCTTTCTATGAACGGTGTCTAGCATGCTTTTTGGTTCTCTGTTCCATTTTAACAATTGCTCTTAGTTTTCCTGACTGAGAAATTGCTACTTCACTCGAGCAAGATGATGTAATGGAAAGGTGTTGGCTTTGGTGACTGGAGACCTGATTTGAGTCTTGGTGCTATCAATTACTGTTTGAGTTTCAGCAAGGCACTTGGCTGCCCTAGATTCAGTGCCTCATCTGTAAAAAGGAGATTGTAATTCTTGACCTGCCTACCTCACAGGGCTGTTGTGGGGATCCAGTAAGATGGGATACATGTAAGTGTGGTTTTAAAAGGTTAAAAAAAAAAACGTGTACTGTTCTGGGGAAAGAATTAAGGATTTAAGTGAATTGGTTTAGGATTGCTTTTCAAATCCCTGAAAGGAGTAAATTCTAAGAAATGGTTTTCTTGCCTTAATCTCTCATGTGATGAGACAGTGAAGTGAAATTTGCCTTACTAAATGAAAAAGATTCTAAGGAAGTCTTAGTTTCTTCAGTGGGTGTGGCCTGATGCTTTTTTTAGCTAAACTTTTCTCCTTTCAGTAATGCAGACTTACACTTAGAATGTAGACGTGTAAGCATCAGCAAAGCCAAGGTACAGAAGACTTTTTTGAATTAAAATAACTTGCAAGGGTATACAAGGTGAGTTTCTGTTAAGTGATGCTATCAGAGGTGTTGCTTTAGCTGGCAGGGAGCACTGCTCAAATAGGTAGTTTGGGAATGGTAATTCATAGTGAAACCACATCAGGGGAGTTATCCAAAGGACTGCATCATATGAAGGTATGAACCTATAAAGTTTAGTATGTCTTCCAAACCTGAAACTCTATGTTCTTAGAAGGTATAATTCAAAGAGTCTTTGCTACATACAAAGGTTCTAATGATGTCTGAGTGTAAATGCATGGTGGTTACTGGTTGCTAAACTCTACAGAGAAATTGATAGTCCAAAATGGCCAACAGAATTGGTACACCAGAATTCATCCAATTTTGATATTTTTGTATTCTGCTTCTGTGCCTGGAAACAGACAAATAGATATTTTGGAGTTTTGTAATGGGAATTTGTATAAAGCATTACTCTTTTTCAATAAATTTTGTTTTTTAAATAAAAAAAATAAACCCTTAGCTTGTTTTTCTAATTATTTATTTCAAGATCACCATGCTTGAAAGCTACTGTGGTTTGGGATAGGATCTGACTCACTTTATGAACCTGGGAATGCACTATTGTGCTTCTGGGCCATCTGTCAAGTTACTGAGTAACTCTGCCCACTTGAATGTCCTATTTCTCTCAAACTGAGTTTCTTCCTCATCAAGGCTGGTGGTGATAGAAGAGAATGCCAAGAGAAGTTGCTTTATTTTCCTCATCCACAAACAGGGGATATGCTACAAATGATGACTAAATGGTAAAAGAGCCAACTGGAAAGTATTGTCCAAGCTTAAGGAGGGTGTGTTCCTCAGAAGATAGAAGAGTGACAGACAGTAGGCTAAAAATCCATTATTATTTTGGTAAAGATTATTATCAAAACTACGTCCAAGGAAAGCAAGTGATGAAACACATTCACTCATTATCTGAAAATATCATTAATTGATAAACCCTTAATTGTAGCCTCTCCCTGGGCAATTTTCATATTAAAGAGATAGGCTTGTCAACAAATGATTATGGCTCTGTGTGGAATTTCAGACATCAGCAGGTTCTGTGAAAGACAAAGTTCAGTTTGACCTGAACTAATTAAGCAGATGCATCAGAATCCCCCTGTTTCTGCAGAATTTAAGTCTCTGGGGGTGGGGTCCAGGCCCATGACATTTGAGAGGAAATAAAATGCCTAAGTGCTCCTGACAAGAACTCGTAAGGGAAAAGCCTGGGTTGTAAATCATACCAAGTAGGCACACACTTTCATGTGAGTTCATCCTTATTGGATGCCATTATTCTACAAACCATGCTGTTCCCCTTTCCTCATATAGGACTTCCTATGTCGATGTGTGCCCCAGTTCAGGGAAAACTCCATGCCATTTTTATATTTCCCATCTTCAAGCTTGTGGCTAATCCTAGTAAAATCTGGTAGTGAATTCTTTCCCTTCTTTTTGCATGTAGCAGAGGGGTAAGATTTCCTAGTACCCTTCTCTCCCACCCCAGACACATTCCATGTGCCCCCAACCTGCCCTAAAATCTCTACAATTAGCTGGTGCCATGGAAACTGACAGAAGTCCCTACAGATTCTAGGGTGGTGTGGGGACAGCTTGTTGAGTCCAAAAATAATCAAAAACATTCTCAATGCTCTGAGCCTCTGCAAACTTCATCCATTTTGTATACTCGACTTCCATTGGCAGGTTTTTCCAACATGGCCAGTATTGGCAATCGGACATGAGATAGGAATTTATTCATTTAATATTTACTAAACATCTATGATAGGCCCAGTGCCATTAAATGTAGACAAGGATAAATGATGTAGGAAATGAGCAGGACCCTCTGCTGGACCTGCGCAGGGTGAATGATGTTGCGTAGGAAGAGAACTAACTGGAATCCGCACTGATTCTGCTATGGGTCAGCAGCAGTGAGCTGTGGAGATCTCCATCCCTTGTTTTTCAATCTGTAAAATGAGGAGTTTGGCCCCAGGCGGTGGTTCTTATCCATAACAAAATCGGAATCACCTGTGAAGTTTCGAAACTTCCCAATTCCAGGGCATTATCCCAGGTCACAGCAATCAGAACCTCTGAGAGGAAGGTCGTAGGTAGTTGCTTCACGAGAGATTCCAGAATGCATGATCTGGACTATAACCAACTGGGCTGTGTCATCGTTCAGCATCAGTGATGCATAAAAATTGTTCTGGCTAAACACATACCCAAGTACTCCATAGATTACACTGTTGTCTACACCGTTCCTCTAATGCTATGGTTTTATTTTCTGCCTTTTGTTGTTGTTGTTGTTGTTAGTTCGTTTTGGTGAGAGGAGGGAAGGAGTTAAAGGGAAGTGGTTTTCAGAGACTACTGTTGTCTTTTTTAGTAAATAACCTATTTTCTTGTCATTTTCCATAATTTTAAATTACCTCCCCAAAATGGGTATTAATACAAGGCAAATTCTTTTTTTTATTTTTCTATTTTTGTTTTTTTTGCAAATTCTTTTTTTAAAAGCTGACTTATATTTAACAAATAATATTGTCTTAAGAGGATAAAGATTATAAAGCAGAGTCTGAGTTATTTTCCTCTGTTATATGAAATTTTCAGGGAAGTCCTTAGCTAAACCATAATCTCGATACATTTATTTTTAATTGATTAGTGATTTTACTTCATTTATTTCATCATCTCTATGACATAACTGTTTTGATTCTCTTTCCCACCCTCCACCCCAAAAATGAACACACACACACATATACACACACCTCAGTTTGGGAAAGGTAAAATCTGAAAACTGGACAAATATTTCTTAAGTAAGTTGAACTGAAATAAAGCACTTTATTCTCCCAAAGGAGCTTTTATTTTTTTTAAATTTAGCACAAAAATTAATTCCATATGGGTTAAGGACTTGAATAGGAAAACAAAAACTCAAAAAATCTCAAAAGGAAAAAAAAATCTGAGAACCAAGTCTTTATTATGAATTACAGAATTTTTTTCTTTCTTTTTTTTTTTTAAGATTTTATATATTCATTTGACAGAGATCACAAGTACGCAGAGAGGCAGGCAGAGAGAGGAAGGAAAGCAGGCTCCCCACTAAGCAGAGAGGCTGATGCGGGGCCCGATCCCAGGACCCTGAGATC